CGTTTCAAAGAAAGCAGTTATTGAAACCTTCAAATATCTGTGATATCAGTTCAACTGTAATTCATATTTACTATTGGAATGAACTTAGCCAACCGAAAAGTAATCTGCTGTAAAATAGTAACAGTATTATCAGTCATTTGACGATATTAAACGCTAGACATTCTTGGCACAACCGACTTTAGTAGTCAAACCAGATACCAAAGTACTGGGCAGTTTTCAGATTATTTGATGAAAGTATAGTAACTACCAACTAGTAATGATGAAAAACGCCCAGAATAGCACTAGCATTAAGGAGGTGCATTGTATTTTATGCGGGACTCATAAGACTGAACTAAGCTGCCTCTCAATTAGTAGTATTCTTTGATTGGAATTTTAACAAAGCTTTCTTCGATTAAAACACCTAAGTTTCATTTACTAGGCTACTGAGTCACTAAGGTCATTCCTTGTGCAATGAGCATAACTCAGATCTATAACCTGTTGTTATCCACTGTTGACTAACCTGGACTGACTGGATTTGATGCTGTTAGCATGCTGACTCCTATATGAGTAACTAATTACTTGAAATTATCTCTAAGCATTTCAAAATAATTTCTGTAGTGGATTAAAAAGTCATATGCTGCTCAGCTTTTACACCTTATTCACTTCGATAGGAAACCAGCCACCGCTCGAGCAGCTCAGCATTAACTCCTCCAACTCAGTAATTAGGTAGCATTGGTTGCGATTTCTGACAAGAAATACCTTCTTTCGAGGTCATTTATAAAACCTGCTCATAAGTACCGAAAAACAAGAAGCATGGAAACAAATCTCCCTGCCATTCCATTCGACCATCAAACATTAAATATTGTTATTATCACTGAAGGATATCAGCTGAACAACTTTTGGAGGTCAGTGAGTAATAGAGATTGAATGTATACTAATTGATTAGGTATGGACCGTGAACTTATTCATCGTCTTATCGAAAAATGCAAAGCATTTCAAAACTGTCCGAATAAAAACAGGCTTGTAGCACAAACTATCATTTACTTTCACACTACTTTTAATCTCAAGTAAGCCACTTTCAAGTATGAACCCACTTTCGTCTTCTCAACAGTAGATTTCTTCCCAAGACACTTTTTAGATAGTGTAAGTCATATCAGACATTCAACAACTGCCTACGCTCGTTACTGTAGATCAGATGGCCAGAAAGAATAAGCAATAAGGAATTCTGGCTGGCAGAGAACCAACCAAGAACCTATAACTCAACAAATATGCAGAAGGAAGTGGAGATGGATTGTATTGGGCACACACTGAGAAGACCATTCGGAGACATCACCCGTCAGGCCCTCGAGTGGAACCCAGATGCGAGGCGACGAGTTGGGCGTCCGAGAGTGACATGGAGGAAATCGTGTGCAGAGGGAATTGTAGCATGTGGGCTGTCGTGGAGCCAGGTTCAAAAGATTTCAGAAAACAGAGTGCACTGGAGACGTGCTACTGAAGCCCTATGTTCCATTAGGAACCCAACAGACAAATAATAAATAATAATAAATGATAAGTCATATCATTTGACTCTCAAAGATCCCTACTAAATAACACAACAAGCAGAATATATAAACACTATCTATGGGTCATATGAATTCACCAAATAACCACTGTTACACTGCAAATGACTTACTTTTTCTAACTACAAGAGCTTATTTGAAATTATAACTAGGTAAATTTGATCAAAGAAAAAGAAGACGATTGTAACGAAGAAGGAGTTATTAGTGACATTCGCCTGTGGAATACTGAACAGTTTTGAGGGAAATTCACACATACACACGTAACAGCAATAAGGTGTCGAAGTCAGACTCTACTATCAAGTAGTAGGTGATTTTGAAACATCATGGTAAGTAGGATATTTCAATGTCTACTTTTTCCATAAATGTAAAAGTGGAACATGCGACCTTAATGGAAATAAAACAGGTGTCCTCTTGTAAACGATTTTTTAATAAACCGTAAGTAAAAAAACTCTGTCAGTATCAACTGTTCACTTTTTCCGAAAGAATATATATATATATATATATATATATATATATATGATTTGTCAACTGAACAACCTAATAGAAAACATCGAATAACGATTATATATTCTTTTCTTCAATGCATCACATATACGAAATATTAAGCAGAGACCTATGAGACCTTCTAAATGTGTAAAGTAAACAGAAATTAAAAATCTACCATGCAAAAAAGAAGTGAAATCGTATGAGTGACTGTCGAAATGGAATGCAGTTAATTATATCCCTTAACCAGATCTTGTAATGTCATGCATTTTATAGCAGTTCTTCCAACTATATTAACTTTTTATAATACTTCTGTCTGGAATAATCAAGTTGCCAACACCGACTTGAGTAACAGTTATCACTATGGACTAAAATACAGAGCAATACTTATTTTAAGGTTAGTTTAACCGTTTCTCTTCTGTAGCTAAGGTAACTTAGGCTTAAACTGTATGAGTTTCATCTTTTTTGAGTGGGCTACTTCCAAGTTGGTCTTTATGCGTCCATCAATGTATATGTTTGCAGGTGTAACTAATTTCAACGCTTGATACTGAAATATTTTAACTCTCTGAACCAAATATCTTGAAATCTTAAGATTTACAAGCATGAAACATCCATCCAGTGTTTTGACCAAGTTATCTATACAGTTAAGCTGGTTTATTGAAGTGAGCTAGTGCATTTTGTCAAACAGTTTTTATGTTTTTTATCCTGATTTTAACGGGAACATGCTATGCTGAATAACTTGTTATTGTTGTCTTTTATTCCCTTTGAATATAAAAACATTTAAGACGGACAGGTGGCTTTTATAAATTGTTATTTTTCAGTGAAGACAGTGAAGAAATCAACCATCGTATTTTGGAAATCAAACTGTCTTCTGACAAGTATAAGGGGAAAATGTTTAGGCAAACAGAGTTCTATAGCTCTAGCTTACCTATAAAGTGAACAAAACAGCATGAAATGCGGCTCAGTCATGATGTTTATTTGCTTCAACCGAAATAAGTGGTTAGTGTGTGAGGATGACGTGATAATGATATCAACGATGTGTCAAAATAGTAAAGATAGCTTAGGTGTTCGAAGTGACAAATAACTCCCCCAACTGCCAGCGCGATAAACTCCACTAACCGCAAGGCGTTTGCATCCACCTAACGACGGCTGCAGTTCCCAGACTCCAGTGTTAACCACTATTCAAAGTTTCTGTCACTCAAGTAAGCTTCGTAGATTATAGTTTGGCGAAAACGTTTTATTAATGGTTAGACCTAAGGGAATCAAGTTGAAATGTAATGCGAGATTGTTTGTTTGTACAAGAAAATGTTAATACTGAAGATTAACCAGATTTATCTCAACATACTGTGCTAGCTTAGTGACGTAATTCCAACTTTTGAAAAGCAGTTTGGCGTACTGCTGAATTATACACAGCTTAGGTGCCAATATGGGTTACCTAATGCTAAGGGTAGCTATTCATTAACGAGGAGCGTATTACTGTTGACAACCGTTTATTCCCGGTACTTAGCCTTTTGGCTTATCTTTTCTGAGCGTACTACTTTTCGTTATACTGAAGTTTTATTAAGTGTCACTCAAATACTTCAGTCATAAATCATTTTCACTCGATAAACTTATCTACCTTGTGTTTAAATAATACCATAACTATTGGACAAACATCTGAATATCTGCTTATAAAATTTAATTGCTGTATGTTAACGGAAAAGCATTTTAAAGTACAAGCTTTTGTAACAATATTGGTTTCTGGTAAACAAAAATGGTTATATTCGCTGTCTAGGTCTTTAGAAAGGTTTTCCACGAATATATATATCAGTGGAAATTTTGACCGTAAGATGTATTTGAAAGTAATGTGAAATGATAGCTGAGTGGTAATCACCTGGTATCTATGATTATCGCCACTCGACGTTGAAGTTGCAAGACTCTTTATCATGTCCGGAAACTTGATTTCGTTCATTTTCACAAATGAACTTTTTGGTAAACTTAAGTCAATTTCCAACTGTCATGGGAATTAATAATAGGCCTGGCGATAAAATATGATTATAATGCAATTTTCGGTGCAGTGGAAATCTAATTAACCTTCAATTGTTTAGGGTGCATTATTCTTTTAAATTCTTATCCATGTCCATAGGCATTTTTGTGCTGCTGAATTATTTACTCCTAACTCAATTACTGAGAACTTTTTAGTGTGTTGAAGACAGAGGGGAAAATGTTTTATAGATCTTTCTTCTTTTAGCGTTTTGACCGTTATTTTTCATGATTGTAGAACCTTACCTCTGTCCCTAACATATCTTGACTGACTGGCATTCACTGTGATCCTTCACCATTAAAGCTGTTACCACTTACAGTCTTTTTGACAATGCTCCGTGAATCCAAGGGCCTTCAAATCAAAAGATCCCTTAAATACAACATTTTATCAAGCTAGGTTTATTTTAAGGTCATTAACGCAAAAGGCTACTTTAGGTTTTGCGTGTTACCTGTTACATTTTTATTTGACGGGAGCTAGAACGATCATGGAATGGTTTCAACTGTTCACGCAGTTGACTTCTGTCGCCACAAACATTACAAGAGGTCGTTTGCTGAAGGCCTTCCAACGTAGTTGTCAACTTTCGATACTTGTGTAATGTTTCTACAGCCCCAAAAATAGGACATCCTACCATTCATATTTCAGTTAGCTTCCCGCATTACCTTGTCCTTTTTCTGGTTTGTCTTTATTTTTGTTTCTGTCATTGATTTTTGCCTACCGTATTGATTCCCAGTATAATGTATAAAACAGAAACAGTGGTTCCTACACCCTGCGTTTTTACAGTTTATCATTTCTTTTGCATATTTAGCCTATTAGCTTCAAATATTTCAGAAGATATTGGTAAATAGGTATCTAATTTTCTAGATGTGCCATGTTGCTAACTAGTTATGTAAATGTAAATAAGTGTGCGTTATTTACTTTTTCTTTTCATATTTAATCTATTACTTTTCGTTTTACAGGCCGACTGCATCAAGTAATACTGAACGCCCCAAATGGAACACAATTACACCATATAATTTAACAGATAAGCAAGCCAATATCACACTGGATACAAATCACCAGAGTGCATTTCAGTTGAGAGCTGTCAATAAGATTGGAATGAGTGACCCTGCTTATTTAATTATAAGGCCACCATTTCAAAAAGTTCCAGATAAGTTATTTTTGTTGAAAAAATTTTCACTCAAGTTTTGTTTGTTAAAATAAACTATTTACTCTTCTAACTTGGTATCAACTACAACTATTCGGCTGAAAATGACGATTTTTACTGGCCAAATTACCACTAAATCCTTGTTTGGTCAGTAAACCACCTGAAAAAAAATGATTGTTTATACTACAGCAAACAAAACTTGGCTCTGAATAGTTTTACTCCAATCTACATGACCTAGAATAGCATTTTTAGAGAATAGCTCAATTTCGTAGGACTAAGTTTCAGCAACAAGGTAGCTGAGAATATTTTCATATAAAAGTCTTTTATTGAATAAAAGAGTGAGGCTTTATTATTATCATTATCATTCAGTATGAATGTTGTATGTTACTTGCATATCTTTCGAAAATGAAATCGTGGACAAGGAAACCGTTCATTATTCACATGCCTTTTTTCTTTTCTGAACAACTTGATACGAATTCGCTTTACTTCACACTGATTGCATATTACGTTCTTCTTAATGATTTAATGCTTTTTGAGCAGAACAATTTGGAATATATTTTGTGCTATGAAGCTGAAGACATTCAGTAATGAATATTCTGCAGGATTATGGTAAATTATTCATGGCCAGCTCTTTTCAGTGTTTCCAAGGAGATTTTAGTAAGTGGGAACACACCTAGTAATTCAGTCCGTAGATTTTAGTGTACATTTAGACACTACCACAGTAGCTACACATATGGTAGTTTAAATACCCTCAAGGTTATGTATAGACACTAGTACACATTATGGAGGATATCTATACGTTTCACTTCAGCGTTTCTATTGCATCCATCTTGAACGTGGTATTTTCTTCCCATCTAACCAACTTAATAGGAACACTTGTCTATAAAATAATTATAATTTAACTCAGTAACCACCTGCTGTTCATTGCACTGAACAATGAGTGAGCCATATCAATTGCAAGGGAATAAATGACACTAACTTTCGAATCCACTACCCACTGGTTGGATTTTAATGCCTAGACTACATCTTCACCAATAAACTCACAACAGATAGAAGGGTGACTGACGAAGCAAGGTCAGAATAATAATTAGTGGAAAAAGAAATTTGTAAACGCTTCCATGCAGTCAACTTCTGACAGAGACCAGCTTTATGTGACGCCCACAAATCTGGAATAAACCAATAATGCATGTTATGCTGCAACTCTGTGAAACCTATAACCCGATTGGGATTCAAAAAGTAAATCAAATGAAAAACGATATTTTTTAACATTTTTTCCCACTTCATCTCGTAAATGAATATTTGTTACTTCCAGAGTTCTCACTAACTGGTCTACTGTCCAGTTTAGCTCTTGTTTAACATGCTTTAAAGAATAGAAAGCCTATTTAGTGTATTTGCCTTTTATTTAGGAGACGAGTAGCAAAAAACTAGAGGTATACTCATGATTTTTTAGGTATAGGACTAGTGCTATGAGAACTATATATATATATATATATATATATATATATATATATATATATATATATATATATCTATATATATATATATATATATATATAACAGAAACCAGACATTTTAAGATGCATAAAAGCATATAAGGAACAGTTTAAATAAGTGAAAAGCGGGTGCGACCTGTGATATTCGTCCGTCTTTTCAGATGAACAGAACACCTGCTAACTTTTAATGCTTATAACAGATTAAATGTCTAAGCGAAACACCATACAATAACATATGTTTTGGATAAAACTCAACTAGGTCTAGGTGGTTTGCTACAATAGGCTTACTGATCGGGAAGTGAAAGTGTTCACTTACTCGTCCTGCAGTAGGATTTTTGGTTATCTGCTATAGTATTTGAAATTATCTGTACATATCAATTTGAAAATTAATTCCGAATATGAGTTGTTAACTGACATCTTATTCTTGTAATAGCGGTTATTCAATATACGTGATATAAAGGGTTTCTAATCTGTTTATCTAGAATTATTGGAAAAAGATGCTTTATTAGGCCTGTAGAATTACTTGCATTCAATGAAGCTTCAACTGCCCTGTTGTGAAGTATTTTGTACACTTGCTTCGAAATCAGACTTATCACCTGTTTAGGATGACTGTCGGGTATCGTCAACATTTAATATGGTTCACCATCCGGATGTTTCTGGTCAAAACCATTGTAAAAGTTTGCATCTTTAGTTTTGAAGTAAGTTTTATTCTTAAGTCGCAAATTAAGTGAGGTGCGACTGTGTCTTTTAAAACCTTTTGAAAATTCCCCTGCCTAACTTCACACTCAAATGGTGCCCTAAAACATTTTCTCTTTCTTTCCAAGACTTTTGTGATAACCTATAACGACTTTATCATAACCCTACTTCTGGTTGTGTCTGTCGAAATATATCGCCAAGCACTACATTCCATCTTGCTATCACAAAACGTTCACTCAATTCTACTAAACAGTTTAAAACCGACTGTAAAATTCCGTAATAAAACCGCAAAAAACAAATATTTCCCCGGTCAATACAACCATTTCCTTTATGACACTTAATGATATTTGATTTCCTCAGAAAAGCAGAAATATGTTCACAGATCTGAAAGGTATTTTGGAAGCCCTCAAATTGCCGTGTACCCTTTTACAATTAAGTGAACTCAACATGAAAATGACACATCTCATTAGGAAACTGTAAGGACTCTTTTAAAAACCTTATTTAGAATATCTAAGACTGAAGGAACACTTATGGTAGGTAACATGTACAAATTTAGTTTAGACCAGTGTTTACCACAAAGAATAACTGGTCGAAGGCATAGGAAGATGGTATACGTATTTCATTCATGTAACCTAAAATCAATAATCTCTTCGATTTTATAACACAGAATTCCACTGAACAACTTTAACACACTTCAGATATAATTCATTATCCTAGTTGTTTTGGGATCGAACTGTTAAGCAGTGTTTTGTTTCCTATTTGTCTTCCGGGTGCTGTTATAATTCCCATTTGTGTTTACTAAATACAAACCAAACACCATTCTATAATCGCATCATCCACTTTGACCTACTGGCAGTAATCTACAATTTTTTCAAATAACTGGTTTACTTGTTTAAAATCATAACTTCTTTTGGTGTTCAAAGGGAATGAGAAATAAAGAATCGGAAATTACAGACTTATTACAGTTCATTAAACATAACAAAGATATAACCTAAAATAACAAGAGTGTTTAAACATCAGAAGTAGCAAAAGTCAATAAATGAGCAGTCGTTTCTTATTTATCAGTGTGAAAGTGTAGTTCTGACTTTTATTATATAATCCTACTGTGTATAAAATAGACTTCATTTGCCTTCCTCAAGTGTACTCATTACAGATGATGTATTATAAGCTTAACTAATTGGCACACTAAATTAGAGTTTACATAGAACGCTGTGTAACTGAAACAGTATCCATGTTACTAACATGGTGTTGTATAAGTGTGGGCAACAATCATCCATAGTAGTTATACTCTTCCTGTGAAGTACAAAGAAATCAGGTGTACGTAGATTATAATCGATGTAAATATTTACTTAGTTGCACCAGATAGACTCTGACTACGAATACAAATGCCATGATTTAAAGGATATATTACGAGACTTGAACCACACTTGAACAATATTTCAACTCAAATCGATATTTAGGAAACGGGGTACAGAAAAATCTAAAGTAAAGTGTCTTGAAGAAGCTTAGAAAATCCATTAAATCGGAAAGAGTTGGAGCTCACTATATGTACTTTGATCTTTAACTTTCTAGTATCCTCATCTTTAACATGATATGTGGAAATCGCGTGATAAAGCACTCATTTAGGTCAACTTCCTGATTCATTCAATGCAGATGATTTGGAATGATGTGGCCGCACCCCTGGTTATTATCTACTCGTTTTGACGCCGTCTTTTGAAATAACCCATGTTTACTAAATGAACAGTACTTTGGAGTTAAATAGTATTCGATATAAACATCATTTCAATAAGTGGAAACAGAACCGAAGCAATATGTCATTGTTAAAACAGTAGATATTTATTAGCATCATTTATTATCATGGTGCATGTGGGTGTAGAAAAAATAAGTAGGAGTAGACTTAAACGGTCTAAACTCTTAATCGACAAATCATTTCTGTTTCGTGAACATTATTCACTGGTAAGCTTGCTAGACTCGAATCCTTTTATGCTCCACTCAGCATAATACCATAGTATCTCCTGGTTCATCCCTAGTAAGGACTCAAAGAGGTTTAGTTATAACGCATTTATGTCACAATATTTCTGTGATCAAGAATAAATAAGGAAGTATTGTTGGTACATGTAGAAAGTACTCCTGAATTTGTTTTTAATCAACTTATTATATTCCAATGTCACTTGTAAGTGTTCGCACAAGTTTTAAGTAAATACAGTGTACAGTTTCAAGTACGTCATTATAATTATCAGATGTTAATACTTCTGACAAAAAAAAACTTTCGTAGTTCGTTCACAATGCAATTTGGTTGTATAAACTGTATGACTTTAGCACATGTTTTACGTAAACCATTTTTGTAATTTATTTAGAAGTTTAATAATTTCTCCATACAGGTGCTCACACTTCTGTTGTTATACCAACCAGATGGTGAACGCTGACTAAAAGACAAGAATATAGCAAAACGACGGAACAAATGTTAGTGCACCCTACTTGCTTTGCCACGTTTGTCTTATTATAGGTAACTGACTATATTCTGTTGAAAGCAATCGAAAAAACTGTTATGACCTTTAAAAAATTATCTTTCTTTTCTTTTTTATTACAACCAGGGGTTATTCATCATTATTTCAGCCTCTTAATCAAGTAACCAGTTTGCTGACCTATAGTCTCCTTTCAGTTGCCCTACTACTTTTATTCCTGTTCCTAATTGTATTGCTGATTTACCGACGTAAGTAATGATCTAGTTTTATCATTTACTAAGTGCATTGTTATTTTTAGTCCTTTATAATATGGATATTTAAAAAAAAATAACTTTTAACGTGGACGTGAAAATGAGCATGAAGGTGTAAAGGGATATGCTTCACCAAGATTCTTGGAAAGAAGCTATTTATTCTAAGTGCAGCATAAAAGTATTGCTAATTGCACTTAGCTAGGACAGTTATAGTACGCCATCCAAATGAACAAACTTACAAAAGTATTATAATCACGATGGAGAAATGGCGTCAATTCAAAAAATGGCTTGCGAACATAAATCCTGTGGCTTAAGTTGTCCTGCAGAATTTAGTAGGCTCACCATTGCCAAAATATTGCAATTTTTAGGATATATCAGTAAGTAAATTATTCTGAAAGCACTTTCTCATTGAACTCTGCAACAAATATTTCACAAATTTTCCTGGAAATTAGATGTACACATGAGTGGTTCGTCAGCAGTATTGCTGCCTATAAAATAGTTAGGCATCGGCTTCAATTGATAGTATGACATGCGCAAAAAGTAGAAAAGGCCGTAAAATGAAGGAGATTTGCCTCAAACATACCATTCTAAACAGTAGAATCACAGTGGACAGCAGATTATGAGCTAACAGACAAATTTTTCTATTTATTCATCTGAACTTGTTTATTCATGGTAATCAGAGATTTAGCAGCTGTCTTAGCCAAACTTCTGTTTACCAGTGATTAGTTTCACACATATCGTGAAAATATGACAGTTTGCTTTGCACTCTAAAGCCCTGTTCATCTTCTGAAGTATTTACCCAAAAACTCCCATCCAGTGGTTTCACAATATTACCATATATCTTACAGGAACTGACAATTTCTTATTGGTATGAATTTTGCTTGATACACACATTGATCAACAAAGAGGATTAATTTCATAACTTATCATAGCTGTGCAGTTAGTTATTTATCGGTTCACAGATATCATGAAAAGTGTCAACAGGGGTCAAAAGTTAACAAGTTAGTAAATCAAACAATTAAAATGGCGTACTGCAGGAGATGGTACGTCAGTCTCACGTAAAAAAAATATGCAGACATAAACTAATGAATGGAGCTCAGAAGTGGTCTTTTCTTATGAAAAGATGATAGAAGAAGAAGAATAGCATACACAAGAAACACAGTAAGATTTAACTCAAAACATTCGTACTATGACAAAAGGAATTGCAGTGGATTGGAGAGAAAAGTATTGAGCAACGGTCAGAGAATTGTGAAACTAGGGTCATAGTGGCAAAAAGGACTGTACAAGACACAGCGTTTGGGATTTTCCCTATCAATAACTAAGGCTTTCAAAGTATGAGAAAGATGTGATCGAAATCCCTTTCGGCGACCTGGTTTAACTTCATACACAATATCAAATAATTTATTTCAAAATACCAGGTGACGTAACAATCGATCTGGATTCTATTTTCGAATACCACGTCGATAAGTGTTTGTGAGCAAGGTTTGACACTTTTATGCTTGTAAAGCCTTTGTTCTTGACACTGCAGGGATAGGTAAGTTTATACGCACTCATGAATGATGCTGACGGCGAGACATCTTTGAGGTTTTGACAAATGAAAGCTTGCATGAAAAAAGTAAAACGCCGGAACCTAGCAATTAATGTTTCACAAACTGATTTCGAAATATGAAGTCACAGAACCTGAGTATTTCGCAGCTGACTTTCAGGTTCATACACAGGCATCTTTGGGGTACTGTTACGTTTTATGGAATGACAAGGCTGATTTTTCAGATTTACGGGTTGTATATCTATTCTAAATCAGAGTTTTTCTAAAGAATCTCAATTCTGTATCGACTGTACCTTCCATGAATATGCGATAAGTTGTTATCGAAAGAGTGGTAATCAGATTCTTTCTTCGGCTGATAGTGATAAAGCTGTAAAATACGTCAATCGCTTGTCCGATTTAGACTTGTGGTCATTTGATCTTTGAAGTGAACCATGACTTCTTCTTGACAGTTGAACATCTAAAAAGGCAAGTTTACGCCCCGGACTCGACTTCAAGCATAAAACAGGTCAATGTACTGGCGTTATTGGAGACCTATAGGAGTTTATTTATTGCAGCTGGTTCAACTTAAACAATAAAAGTACCATTCGTACATCGCTTGTAAGCCCGAAACTCATAGGTAGTTGACTGCAAGGTATTTGAAAGGTAAACTAACATCCAATTCGTTCGAATGAATGAACTTGAAGTGTCTATATGATTAGGATACACCACAGTAAATAACTTCATGAGACTGAAGATTGTTTCGACATGAAAAAAGCATCTAGATCTAGGAACGAAGTATTCCAGTCACCTAAGTGGACATAATTGTACTTAATTACTAACTGAATAAACAAACTGATGGATACCTACCGGGATGATGAATATGGCTCCAGTTTTCTGGTAAATAAGAAGAATAAAACGCAGTTCGTAGTCACTGTAGCTATAAAATGCTAACTTTTTGTACAGTTTGACAGAACTTGAAGAATTATTTGGAATAACGCCTTTATTTCACATCATCAAGACATCCAAGAACAAATCAATAAGTGTAATATGGGTGTAAAACTTGAGCACTATGGTAGAATTTAATTTAATATTAGATTTGTCGATTTGATTTATAACAAATAGTGATATAGTATTGTTTACCTGATGACTTTTCGAGCACAAATTATTGCTTGAATCGTCATCAAGTAAATGACACTAGATCACTGTGTTATAAGTCAAGTCAACAAATCTAATATGGAATGAGTATGATAGTTCACAGAGATATATAGTTTAAAAGTTTAGTATTACTGTGATATGTGGTGTCTTCCAAATTTAATAAATGGTTTCTCATTCCCTAAGTTTTGTAAGCAGCATTGCTTCGCATACAATGGATGCCTTAACGATAAAGTTTTCCAAAAATACCAGAGTTTATCAGCGCCACAGTCAGTTTTTACAGGAAACTGAAGACGATAATCGAACCATCTGTTCGCTCGGTGGTCAAATATTGTTGCAACTAGACTAACTAATCTTCGGTTAGGGTGTTTTAAACTATATTTTAGAGAGCGTTTGATTACAAGTAGTCACTGACATCTCAGGTAGTAAAATCACGAATAAATGTAATGGAGAGGCTAGAGGTTTCATTTCTTAAAACTGATGAGTACCTCAATCAGTTCAGTGCCATCCAAATTTAAAAACACACTTGTCTAGCAAACGCCGTTTGCACAGTATAAGGTGAAGAATGATTTTAGCTTTAGGTCTTTATTCATCTTTACGTGGAAGCGCTTTGTTACTTCATAATCTGTTAAAGGAAATCAGAAATTTATGTGTATGTATATGCATATATATATATATATATATATATATATATATATATATATATATATATATATATATTACAGCTTTCATGCTGGCAAACTTGATGTTAGTCGTGGTATCCAGCTTATCAATCTGTGTGATCGGAATATTTTATTTCCCATTGGAGATCGCTGTGAATTCAGATGGTATTAAAATTCAACCCTCTGAACTGAATCAATCCAAATACACTGCTAATGACCTTAGTCTCGAATGAGTGAAACAGCCGTCCGGTGTTTAGATCACCTTAATCTGGCTATCGACCACTGCTGATCGGCTTGTGTGGTCTACAATTACTCATGTTAGCCGGTAGTGTAGCTTGTATAGCTAAAATGAATAACCTAATGAACTGAGATCTGCTCTTTAATTTCCAAGACTGTGACAGAAAAAATTTTCAAATAAATACAACGATACACAGATAATCAAATAAAATCCAGGTGTTTCATGCTTAATGATAACAGGAAACAGCTGGCAAATTAACTAATTTTTACCATCGAAATCGGACTTGAAAATATCAGGTTTATTACAAATAAAAATTTGCATAAATTATTCTTCATAATAATAACATAACAGCCTTGATATATATACAGTGATCTACACAAATCTTGGTTTATGCTTCGATGCGAATTCAGACCAAAAATTTTGCATGACAGACTGTTGTTCTGTTTCAGTCTTACCAGGTTTCCTATCGAACAAATAACATTCAGATGTTATCGGAAAAGACATGTTTCCTACTTCTCACGACACAAGGTGAATGCTGAGGCGTCAAACAAGGAAAACATAGAAGCAACTTAGCTCAGTATTTTAATAAGCTTGTAATTTTCTGTCATTAAATTTGTCAGATGATCAGAATAGGAAGGTCTTCCTCTCTAGAAAATGAGAATGTGGTCAGTAATTCATCATCTCCGACATAGTGGAGGAAAACATCCGGATGAGACATGCAATTGAAAGGTGGTTTTCAAATTTACAAGGTCAATATATTTGTAGGGGGATTTGAAGATGTAAAAAACTCAGAGTTCAGTAGCAGTGAGCTTACAGTTATAAATGTTCATAAAGTTGCACTGTTTACTTGATGTATAAATGCCTAAGTTACCTCGAATATTTCTTCTGGATCTCAAACGAGTCCTCTCAAATGTTTCACAGTAGGACTGGATAAGTGAATGAAAAAGCTTCCCATGCAAAATGAATTTAACAGAAAGCTTAAAATATATTTGTCCAAATTTGTTTACAGTAGCCTTTACTTTTTACGTTTTGCTTTTAGGTAGGCATAAAGATGGAAAATCTAACAAACACTCGTTTTTCATCAACTTCAATCCAGCCAGACGTCTGCATTCAAGCAGTGGAAATGGTTCATCTATACTTGGCCTAGGTAGTGATTTAACAACGAGTGGTTTACCACTTGATTTAGCTACACTGGAGCCATTATGGAATCAAGAAGTCAACTCACTCTATGGCATTAGCAAGCCTGATCTTAATAATTTTGAACAAGTTCCACAAATACCAGCAGCAAATATACGTTTTCTACGTTATATTGGATGTGGAGCATTTGGCAAAGTATGGGAAGGTTGGCTCCATGTACGTGATGCGGATGGAGAACGTTTTGAAAAAGTCGCACTCAAAGTAGGTTGCTTTTATTCTCGTTCTGCAAAACAGTTCCTTGTTTTTGGAGACGAAATGTGTTACTATCTGTCGTCATCATGTTTAGTTACCCTGATAAATCTGTTCATAAACTTGAGAGACTTTCGTCGTTTTAATATTAGTCAACGAAGTGCCTTTTTATATCTATTTTTGAAATATTTTACAGGAATAATAAGTGTAATCCCTACCCATGTTTTCAATGGTACTAAATTGTCCATTGGTTGTAGACTACACCAAGCGGACATAGGTATGATAGATTGTTCAGGTAGGATACAAATATTTATCAGTAATGTTTTCAGAGCCAATTGTTTCAACATTTAAAGTATCATCCTCCAAGTGAAAAGAATTTCATTTGATCTTATTCAGGAAGCTCTGTTATACGAAGAAACGAAACTGTCATGTAATATTTCATACTTCGGGATTCATCAGAATAATCATAACCCGGTGGAGATATTCAATTGTGAAAAATACTAAGTACACTAAACAGTGTCTTCTGAGTGTGCTAGCGCATTATTCATGAAAGTGAAATTAAAATGCAATTTTTAAGAAGAACAGCATCGTCTCAGCAAACCGAAATGTAAAGCAGTAAACATGCATTGAAACCTAACACCTCCCAGTATGTATATTTGAATTAGCTGAGATTCAAATCCTAAAAGCATTTGAATCCAACCTCATAACAACATATAAGTATCACAAAAGTCCTGGTCTGCGTAACTTTCTGAACATCTAATCAAACTGATATATTGTTCACCTATTCATTGGTTTATTGACAAGCTTAAATATAGGAATATCTCCTACCCACAAAACTGTTATATCCTTTGAAGATAAATCTCATCGCAAAACGATATTAAATAATCTACAATTGAAGACGATGGAGTTATTGAAGTTATAAAATGTACGCCATCTAATTCTAACAAGGTGGATAGGTGGTGAATCCCCCTGGGGTCACAGGTCCGATATCGTATGGGGTTTGAATGAACGCTGCACATAAACCGTCAATTAGAAGTCAAAACTATCTAGTGTTACCTGGTTTTCTGTGGTTGGCATTCCTCTTTGAAAAGATGTTTTTTTCAAATTAGTCAGTCAAAAACACCAAATCAAAATTACTATATTATCTAGGCAATCAGCCAGTTTGTAGAACACTTTTCTCCTACTTCAAAAGCTTTTAGCCACTTAAACTTTTTATCCTTCACTTTCATCATACCAGCTTACTGTCTGAATATTTTTCAGTCATATGGATCTTATTCGAGAACGGATATCCGACATTTTGCCATGTAAGATTTATGTAGGGTAGTGGTGATTATTCCGCTCAAACATTGTGTGAAATTAGCAATTTTGAACGTAAGTTTGTTAAATCTCTTCATTTATTGTAATATTTTTAATTGAGAGTGCCACATTAAGCTCACATAACAAGCTGCAGGACATCGACAGTGAGCTTATTCATATAGCTGCGTGTACTGAAGTGTGCATGAAGCAACTATGATAGAGTAAATTCATAGATCTTCGTTGAAAAAGTTTTCTGTCAGGTTTTTATGTATCCATGTGAATGATGTCTTTCTTATATTTTGTGTCGCTGTGGAAGAAAATCCCAGTTATTTTCCATGTAATGAATACAACTGGTTCTGTTGCACATTGTCAAAAGAACAGTATATTCACACTCTTCATATGTGCTCTAAGTAAATAGCTTTTTATAGTGCAAGCTATTTTTGATATAGATGATTGCTTCTTACTACGAACAGCATATCAATCCATAGGTCCACTGACTGTTTATGCTTTCGGGCTGTTATGTTCTATCCATCAATTTTACCCAATTTAACATTTTTGCATATCCTCTTGTATGTGTCCTCTTCATGCATACTTAAGTGCATTATGCATACGAAAACACACACTCATGCATACCTTCGGCCACCAAAGAAAATGAAATGAACGTAAAATATTTTTGTAACTTATTATTTTGCTGTCTAAAGTGTTTACATATTGGAATGCAACTTTATCGATTGTCGTTTAGGTTATGTGAAGAAAAAGACAGAGACAGTGAATCGAAAAAGGTGGAAAAACTAAAATAAAAAGTCATGAAATTCATCTTCTGTTTTCCTTGTTGCACTGACAGAGTAAAAAACAAAGTGATTAACTGTGGGTTCATATACGAGTTAGTTGTTGGATGCTTTGATTTCTGTTTGCCAACTAAAGTTTCTCGAACGAAGAATGTGATGCGATCAGATATTTCCATCGATATCCCTCCAAACTACAAAATAACCTGCAGTATTAAAGAATATTGTTTCACTTGACTAGTGGACTGCGCTACACTTATTACTCTGCTCTTTAGGTTTATGAGTGATGGTAAAATTACGGTCTAATTTACCGCTTAGCAACTTGCTTATAAGACGGAACACATTTGAACGTTGCAAATGCATGCAATTTACTCACTGTGTTTGCATGCTTAGCTGAGACTAGTAATAAAATGCCTTCACCTATTTAAACAATATATGATTGTGATGCTCTTTGTCCCCATCCATGGGTCAAACTGTACTTCTTTATCAATAGATATCATGAATAATAATAACCACCATGGTTTATTCTTATAATCGTCCAACGGTCTACTGGTACTCATCAGTAAGCATTGTTAAAAGTTGGGAACGACATTCAGTGACTGAAACTTGATCTGCATTGAGTATTTATCCTGCAATATTATCATTATTTATCACCTGGGCTCCTAGTGGAACATAGGGCTTCTGTAGCACGTCTCAATTTCACTCTCTTCTCTCCAGTCCTTTCAACCTGGCTCAACCACTGCTCACAAGCTTTCATTTCTTCCTCACATAATCTCCTCCATGTCACCATCGCCTCAGACGCCCAACTCATCGACCCTCATTTGGCTTCCACTCCACAGCCTAGTCTGGTCTGGTCAGGTCAGGCCTGGACTGGACTGGCCTGGCGCGTGATGTCCCCAAATGATCCTCTCAGTGTGTACCAATCCCATCTCCACTTTTTCTGCACATTTGTTGGGCGATCGGTTCTTCGTTGGTTCATTGCCGGCCAGCCAGCCAGCCAGGCTTCCTTGTTGCTTATTCCTATTATTCTGACCATCTGATCTCCATCTTCAGTGTCGAGGGAGCGTAGGCGGCAACTCTTGATGATGTATGTCTGTGGTTTGTTGGAAATGCTTTTCGTGATGCAGCAAGTCTCTCAACCATCACGTAGAAGCACTGACTTGACTGACTTAGTGTTGGAAATCCCAATCTTGTTCTTTATACTGAGTGGAGTGCAGTAGATCTCCACATTGATTTCAGGTTGATGCAGGAAGGCGTGTCTTGCTGTCATCCCGATTCTGACTGGTTTTGACATCCTCGTCTGTACCTGTACCGCCTGTAGTTGAAACGATGCTGCTTAGGTAGGTAGGTGTGTAGGTGTGTAGATAGGTAGGTAGGCAGGTAGGTGAAAGAGACAACTTCCTCCTCCAAATCTTCTTCCCAGGTCTTTTCATCGGTCTAGCCAGCATATGCTCACCTTCTCGCTCCTCACAGTTGTCTGTCGCATGATCCAGTCCAGTACAGTACAGTCCATTCAAGTCGACCACAATCAGCAAGATCATTGGTGATAGTAGGTGGCTGCCTTGTCTTACCTATCAACCTCTCTTCACTTCAAAGACATCATTCAGCTTTCCATTGTGAATTACTTGGCATGTGGCACCATCATACAGCTGCTGTTGAGTGAGGCTCACAAAGGTTAGTCGGGCGAAAGCCGTAGTGTTGAAGCAGCACTCTGACAAATTACTTCTCAATCGATGCTATCGAAGGCCTTTTCAAAGTCAGTGAAGTTGAGGTAAAGATTCAGTTGACTGACATTCTATGCTCTGTTCTATGATGATGCGTAGCGTAGTGTTGCACTTTGATCCTCAAATGATTCGTCCTTCCTGAAGTCAGTCAGTCAGTCAGTCAGTCAGCCAGCCAGCAAGCAAGCAAGTTTGTCTCAGTCATAATTTTGAATATGAGGCATTCTCCAGTCTCTCCAGATCATGCGGCTTAATATTTGGCTTAAGGTGGACAGGGGTGTAGCATGATTCCGTGCCAGTTCTTGCAAACACGTGGGTTGCCCTTGTGTTTGAGAGGCAAGCCGTCTTCCAGTCATGCGGCAGGTACCCTTCCTTCCCTCCTTCCTTCCTTCCTTCCTTCCTTCCTTCCTTCCTTCCTTACAAATCTCCTGTAACAGTGGTGTCAGCATGTCCTCTGTTCATGTCTCCGTGTCTCCTTTCAGTGCTTCTGGAGGAATTCCATCTCCTCCTGCTACTTTCTCGCAGTTCTGCAACTTTATGGCGTTCAGCATTTCACTTCCGCTCTTGTCGGAGAGCTTTTGTTCACTGATAATTCTGTGTCTGTGTTACTGATGGTATTTCTGGATGAGTCGCAACCGGTGGTCGTGGTGGTGATGGTGGTGGTCGATTCAGGAGTTTTTCGAAGTGGTCACCCCTTCGTTCCCTTGTTTCTCCTCTCTCTTTGGTAACTACGTTCCCTTCATTACCTCTCACAGGTCTCATCTGTGTTGATCTGTTCATCTCTCCCCTCCCTGATGGTAACCTGGTTGTTTGATATAATGTTGTCAGGTCCCTCCCTGTCTTTCCTATCTGCAGCCTGTTATGCTTAACTCGCAAGTGTGTCTTACAACTTTCTTTTTGTCTTTGCTCACACTCTTCTTCACTCATTCGTCCAGTGTAGTGCTTTACACGTTGTGTTCACTTCCTCTTTTCGTTGTTCATCCTTAAACTGCACTGCACTGCACTACTGCACTGCACTGCACTGCACTGCACTGCATTGCACTGGTTCATCCTCTGCTTCACCATCTTCCTCTCCCTACTCTGTCTGCTTCCATGTTAAGATCCGTGGAGATCCATTCCTTGTCTCGCATCTTCTTCTTCCTTCCTAACACCGTTATGCAGGTCTCCTTCCACTTCTCTTTCAAAGAGTTCCAGTGTTCTTCCACACAGG